CATTGTACTCTTTTCTGGACTATTTCCCTGGATCTTTGACATCAGCAAGTCTTATCTGCTTGGCGTATTTTGAAGAGCGGACAATCACTATGGATATTCCTCCATCAAAATAATCCTTGCTCTCTTTTCTATACATTAAAGTATCTACTACCTGGGGTGTTCATTCTAAATTATAATTATTGATAAAGTGGCGATATATCCTGCAGTGACATAAAATAAGTGAACCGTGGGCAAGATGTGTAAATTCAACAAAGCAATTTTGAATTACAGTAACAAGAAGAGGTGAGGACCCTGCTTAAAGAAAATAAAACCTAAAGGACGGGGTAAAAGTCCACATGAGATGAAGGTAAGCCACATTGGTACATACGCAGCACAGTGAGGTAGGCGGAGGCCGAGGGCGATTTCCACATCCCGTTACTGGGAATGCAGGTGTATTTCCCAGCATCTTCTGGCGTGACCTGCTGGAGCAGCAAACTCCCGTCCACTAGAATGCGTACCCTGGACTGGAGACGACTGAAACAAAAATTGGGAAAGAGTGCAAACTGTGAGTCACGTTGATGGGTATAAACAGAGCCTGGCTCCACCAACCTGACACGAGACTGTAGAAACACAAAAACAGCTACAAAAATATGCTTTATGAGGTTCCAGCGGGGGATTTATGCTCTTATGTCCCATCAGAGATAGAATAACAGCTATCAGCCGTTGCTAACTCCCAATTCACAGGACTGAGCAGTAAATGGATGCTGAGATTATTTACCTAAGGAGGTAAACATTGCTGTTTCCCTGGAACCAGCTGTAGGTGAGGTTAGCTGGGTAGGCCTCAGCCTGGCAGGTTAGAAAGGCATCCTGGGAGACATTAACAGTCGTATTCTCAGGGGGGATGACAATAGTTGGGGGTCCTAGAAAGGGAAAAGACAAGAATGCAGTTACATATCTCCCATACCAAACACAACATAATTTTTTTAGATATTGGCTTGGCAAAATGTGCACGGTTTTGCCTTCTATCCCCTCTTTCTGACGTATATTGAAAGCTTAGTCAATCTGCTAATTTGGTTCCAGAATTTAGGCACTCAGTTTTCTCATAAATCAAGTAACTCACCAGGACAGCCTTCAGCCCCGCCTCCATCAATGTCAGTATTGAAGCTGACATCACTTGCAATATCGTCCAATCCAATGCTTCTCATAGAAAAGCATTGGATTGGAGAATGCATGCATAGAAAAATCTTGCTCTCCTCCAATCAAATGCTGCTATCAGCAGTATTTGATTCCTGGACCGAATTTCAGGAAGCGCCTGAAAAGCCTCTAGAGCAGTGATGGCGAACCTTTTTGAGCCCGAGTGCCCAAACCGCAATACATGACAACTTTTTTTTCCTCAAAGTGCCAACACGGCAATTAAACCTGAATACTGAGGTTTAAGTTTAGAAAAACTATTCGTACACTTGTCCGAACTAATTAATAACTTTTGTTTTAAAAGAAAAACACAACAACAGAGAGTTCAATTATACAAATTTAAATAATGATATAAATAGATAAAATTAAGCTTATATTTAATATAATCTCCAACAAATGGAATACACACACACACACACACACACACACAGTCTGCTGAATATACACAAACATACAGTCTGCTGAATACACAGACATACAGTCCGCTGAATACACACACACACACAGACTGCTGAATACATATATACAGACTGCTGAATACATACACACACAGACTGCTCTATACATACACACACACAGTCTGCGTCTGCTGAATACATACATACACAGACTGCTGAATACACACACACACACAGACTGCTGAATACATACACACACACAGTCTGCGTCTGCTGAATACATACACACAGACTGCTGAATACATACACACAGACTGCTGAATACACACACACACAGACTGCTGAATACACACACACAGACTGCTGAATACACACACACAGTCCGCTGAATACACAGACAGACAGACTGCTGAGTACACACACACAGAGTGCTGAACATACACACACACAGTCTGCGTCTGCTGAATACATACACACAGACTGCTGAAGACATACACACAGACTGCTGAATACACACACACAGTCCGCTGAATACACAGACAGACAGACTGCTGAGTACACACACACAGAGTGCTGAATACATACACACAGACTGCTGAATACATACACACACAGACTGCTGAATACATACACGCACACAGTCCGCTGAATACACACATACTGCTGAATACACACAAACACAGACAGCTGAATACAAACACACACACAGACTGCTGAATACACGCACATACAGACTGCTGAATACACGCACACATACTGCATTGAGGGGTGCAGTGTATGTGTGTGTGTGGGGTGCTGTGTGTGTCTGAGGGGTGCTGTGTGTGTCTATGTGTGTGTGGTTGGGGTGCTGTGCTGTGTGGGAAGGTAAGGGTACTGGGCGGGGGTAGAGGTGCTGGGCTTTGGGGGGTAGGGATTCTGTGTAAGTGTGGGGGGGTAGGGGTGCTGTGTGTGGGGGCGTAGGGGTGCTGGGGTTAAGGGTGCTGGTTGTGGGGAAGGGGAGGGGTGCTGGTTGTGGGAAAGGGGAGGGGTGCTGGTTGTGGGGAACGGGAGGGGTGCTGGTTGTGGGGGTGGGGGTACTGTGTGTGTGGGGCAGGTGTACTGTGTGGGGGGAGGGGTGGTAAAAAAAAAAAAAAAAGGTATGCTAAATCTGTATTCCTCCCTCCCTCCTTCTTCTTACCTTTAATGAAGGAGGAGGGACACAGCCATCCCTGGTGGTCCGGTGGTGGTAAGGATTGTAGGGAGCAGCTCCCCTGTCCTCCCGCGCGATGCTGTATGGAGAGTTGCCATGGTAACGCGCGGCAACGCTCCACACAGATTGCTCACGGGAGGACAGGGGAGCTGCTTCACAGATCCCTCCCCCTGCCTCCCGACAAGGAAGCAGAGTAGGCGCCTGCCGTTTTGGGGGTGTCATAGGTTCGTCACCACTGCTCTAGAGGCTATAATCAGGACAGCCACTAGAGGTGTATTTAATCCTGGAATGTAAACATTACAGTTTCTACAATATGTTTTACATTGCAGGGTTAAAACTATAGGGCCACGGCACCCAGACAACTTCATTGAGATAAAGGGGTCTGGGTAACTTTAGTGGTCCTTTACGTGTGCAATTTTCTATGACTATGGGATGAAACAAAGACCATTTACAAAAGACGTTTAACCCCTTAAGGACCAAACTTATGGAATAAAAGGGAATCATGACATGTCACACATGTCATGTGTCCTTAAGGGGTTAAACAAAATAGAATCTAAAAGGGACTAAAAATTCTTACTGCCCCAACTCAGGTGTAAATAGGGAAAGACAAGTTAATGACAAGCAGACAGCAGTTTTCAATAAATTTGGTAACAGCCCAGTATTTCCCATATACAGCATTGTGTACAGCTATCCTGTGCAGCACAGTATTTCCCATATACAGCACTGTGTACAGCTATCCTGTGCAGCACAGTATTTCCCATATACAGCATTGTGTACAGCTATCATGTGCAGGACGGTATTTCCCATATACAGCATTGTGTACAGCTATCCTGTGCAGCACAGTATTTCCCATATACAGCATTGTACACAGTAGTCCTGTGCAGGACAGTATTTCCCATATACAGCATTGTGTACAGCTATCCTGTGCAGGACAGTATTTCCCATATACAGCATTGTGTACAGCTATTCTGTGGAGGGCAGTATTTCACATATACAGCATTGTGCACAGTAATCCTGTGCAGGACAGTATTTCCCATATACAGCATTGTGCACAGCTATTTTGTGGAAGGCGGTATTTCCCATATACAGCATTGTGTACAGCTATTCTGTGGAGGGCAGTATTTCACATATACAGCATTGTGTGCGGCTATCCTGTGCAGGACAGTATTTCACATAAACAGCATTGTGTACAGCTATCCTATGCAGGACAGTATTTCACATATACAGCATTGTGTACGGCTATCCTGTGCAGGACAGTATTTCCCATATACAGCATTGTGTAAAGCAGACTTTGCCTGTCCAATTAGGTTACCTTGAACTAGCACGCGGCTGGTGTGCATGACTTCCCCTTCTTCACTGGCCGCGTGACACGTGTAAATTCCTGCGTTGACTCGCTCCACGCTAACAATCCGCAATGAGCCATTATTTACCTGCAGGGACAGAGTCATATTATTCCCAAATTAATTAACAGACAGTATGAATACTAAGCTCACTGCACAGAATGTTTTACTTCCCATTGTACGAATACTAAGCTCACAGCATGGAATGTATTACTTTCCATTGTATGAATACCAAGCTCACAGCACAGACTGTTTTACTTCCCATTGTATGAAAACTAAGCTCACTGCACGGAATGTTTTACTTCCCATTGTATGAATACGAAGCTCACTGCACGGAATGTTTTACTTCCCATTGTATGAATACTAAACTCACTGCACAGACTGTTTTACTTCCCATTGTATGAATACTAAGCTCACTGCACGGAATGTTTTACTTCCCATTGTATGAATACGAAGCTCACTGCACGGAATGTTTTACTTACCATTGTATGAATACTAAGCTCACTGCACGGAATGTTTTACTTCCCATTGTATGAATACGAAGCTCACTGCACGGAATGTTTTACTTCCCATTGTATGAATACGAAGCTCACTGCACGGAATGTTTTACTTCCCATTGTATGAATACTAAGCTCACTGCACGGAATGTTTTACTTCCCACTGTATGAATACTAAGCTCACTGCACAGAATGTTTGACTTCCCACTGTATGAATACTAAGCTCACTGCACAGAATGTTTGACTTCCCATTGTATGAATACTAAGCTCACTGCACAGAATGTTTTACTTCCCATTGTATGAATACTAAGCTCACTGCACAGAATGTTTTACTTCCCATTGTATGAATACTAAGCTCACTGCTAGGAATGTATTACTTCCCATTGTATGAATACTAAACTTACTGAACAGAATGTTTTACTTCCCATTGTATGAATACCAAGCTCACAGCACAGAATGTTTTACTTCCCATTGTATGAATACTAAGCTCACTGCTAGGAATGTATTACTTCCCATTGTCTGAATACTAAGCTCACTGCACAGAATGTTTTACTTCCCATTGTATAAATACCAAGCTCACTGCACAGAATGTTTTACTTCCCATTGTATGAATACCAAGCTCACAGCACAGAATGTTTTACTTCCCATTGTATGAATACTAAGCTCACTGCACGGAATGTTTTACTTAGCATTGTATGAATACTAAGCTCACTGCACGGAATGTATTACTTCCCATTGTATGACTACTAAGCTCACTGCACATAATGTTTTACTTCCCATTGTATAAATACCAAGCTCACTGCACGGAATGTTTTACTTCCCATTGTATGAATACTAAGCTCGCTGCACGGAATGTTTGACTTCCCATTGTATGAATACTAAGCTCACTGCACAGAATGTTTTACTTCCCATTGTATGAATACTAAGCTCACTGCACAGAATGTTTTACTTCCCATTGTATGAATACTAAGCTCACTGCTAGGAATGTATTACTTCCCATTGTATGAATACTAAACTTACTGAACAGAATGTTTTACTTCCCATTGTATGAATACCAAGCTCACAGCACAGAATGTTTTACTTCCCATTGTATGAATACTAAGCTCACTGCTAGGAATGTATTACTTCCCATTGTCTGAATACTAAGCTCACTGCACAGAATGTTTTACTTCCCATTGTATAAATACCAAGCTCACTGCACAGAATGTTTTACTTCCCATTGTATGAATACCAAGCTCACAGCACAGAATGTTTTACTTCCCATTGTATGAATACTAAGCTCGCTGCACGGAATGTTTTACTTAGCATTGTATGAATACTAAGCTCACTGCACGGAATGTATTACTTCCCATTGTATGACTACTAAGCTCACTGCACATAATGTTTTACTTCCCATTGTATAAATACCAAGCTCACTGCACGAATGTTTTACTTCCCATTGTATGAATACTAAGCTCGCTGCACGGAATGTTTTACTTAGCATTGTATGACTACTAAGCTCACTGCACGGAATGTATTATTTCCCATTGTATGACTACTAAGCTCACAGCACAGAATGTTTTATTTCCCATTGTATGAATACTAAGCTCACTGCACATAATGTTTTACTTCCCATTGTATAAATACCAAGCTCACTGCATGGAATGTTTTACTTCCCATTGTATGAATACCAAGCTCACTGCACAGAATGTTTTATTTCCCATTGTATGAATACTAAGCTCACTGCACATAATGTTTTACTTCCCATTGTATAAATACCAAGCTCACTGCATGGAATGTTTTACTTCCCATTGTATGACTACTAAGCTCACAGCACAGAATGTTTTATTTCCCATTGTATGACTGTAGCGGATAGCACCAGGCGACCCTACAAATATACTGTATATACCTGCATTCGTGTATCTGCTGTGTTTTCTATGTATTAAAGAGAATTGTATTCCTCTGATTGTTCGGTAGTTTCATTCCCGTAGTTTATTCGAATGAAACTACCGAACAACCAGACCTCCCCTGTGTGAAGTGTGTCCTCAATTACCTGTTGCAACATTGTTGCGAATGGGTAATTGAACAGTAAGTAGCCGTCCTTTGTTCTCGGGGGTGGCCGCCATTCGACAAACGAACACGTGGCGGCGGCCATTTTAAAACTCCCGAACAGCGGTGTTTTGCCGTCGAGTGTCTGGAACTAAAATCGGACACTCGAGTAGGCGAACACCGCTGAGACCTCCACAGCCCTGGTCCGTTCGGTTCCAAACTACCGAACGGCCCCTCGTTCGGTAGATAGAAAATACCGAACGAGGGGATTCAGGCGAACCCTCCCTAGCCTCTATAGCTAGAGGTTTTCGTGTATTTTATTCCCTTATGCCAGGACCGACCGCAGGGCCCATTCACATGGAACCGGATTCGGCTATCTCAGTTCGTGCGGTCGGTCATTTTATTCCCTCCATACTTTTCCCGAACCCCTGGTCTGATCTGGGTGATTTTTGGATATGTTGTTCACCCAGATCAGGGGTATCCAGGGATGTAGGATTTAAAGAGGTACCCCTACGTTTAGGGGTACATCCAGAAACGGGGGGAATTGGTGTGCTGGATAAGGGGATTATGATGCTGGCTGAGGGGAGGAGATGTGTGGGAGGTTACCAGGACAGGATTGGCTACTGTAATAATTACTGTAAATCCCTCCCTTGCATGGGAGCATGCTTTATAAGGAGACTGTGATTAAAGGCTTTCAGTTATGCTCCTGAAACTGTGTGTCGTCCAGTTATTGGGATTGCTGTTGGGATATTGCTGTATTTTACCTGCTGGAAACCTTGCCTGTGGATTTATTATTTACTTGTTCCTGAGTCCCACTTGGATTATAAGCGGAGATAACCTGGGTAATATTGCATCTCCGCTACATTGGTTGGCAGTGCTGGGATCCAGACTCACAGAGGAACAAGCCTAAATGGAGTACGGATGGAGATTGATTTTGCCACACTAAAACGCTCCACGCTAAAAGACCTTCTGGAGGAAAAGGGTATACAAGCCAGCAATAAGACAAAAGCGGTACTCATTACTGAACTGATGGCGGAGTACCGAATGGACGGCGATTCGGTTCCCGAACAGGGGAATTCGGGAGAAACACCGGAACAAAGGGAGTTCCAGAGGCAGGTACAATTTCGGCTGTCTTTCTATGGGGAACACCCTCCAACAGAGATTATTTCCAAAACGATAACGGAGGTCCAGGAATTTATACTGAGGAGTCAAACAGCGGCCCCAGAACGTAGCTCTGCAGTAAATATGCCACAAGAAGGTAAGCCGAAAATACCATACCAGGCTTTTAAAACATATGTGGAGGCAGAGGAAGATATAGACGCTTTCCTGCAAGATTTTGAGAGACTGTGTGCACTGCATAGAATCAGCGCAGAGGACTGGGTACCTATTTTGGCAGGGAGGTTAGCTGGGAGGGCAGCTGAGGCATACCGTACTGTACCTAATGAAGAAATACGGAATTACAACAAAGTGAAAGAAATTATATTGGCCAGGTATGCTATAACACCAGAAGCATACCGGCGGAGATTCAGGGATTTAAAGAAGGTGGAGAAAGACTCACACGCAGAGTGGGCATGCAGACTACAACGAGCAGTCTTGGGGTGGGTGCAAGCGAGCAAGGCACGGTCTATGGAGGATGTATTGCAAATGGTACTACTGGAGCAATTTTATGAAGGAGTAACCAGCGAGGTACAGGAGTGGGTAAGAGACAGGAACCCTACCTCCCTTACCGAAGCAGCCAGAAAGGCAGACGAGTACCTGGATGCACGCAGGCAGCAAAAACCTGCAGCTCCAAAAGTACCTTTTAAAACCTTTGGGGGGAACAACTACACGCCAGCTCTACCAAGACCCCTGCCACCAACCCCACCGCCCGCTGCACAGCCACGTTTCCGCCAGCCCACGTCGGGCCCTTGCCACCACTGCCAAAAATGGGGACATTATAAAAGGGAATGCCCCCAGCTGCGGGACCGTTCCACCTGGATTCGCCCCGGCCCACCACCACCACCGAGAGCAGCCGCAGCCCACCACTACCAGGACATCGTGGCCACACCGTATGGTTCAGCAGTTCCCATCACAACGGTAGAACAGTGGGAGGTACTGCACGAGGCAGATCCCGTCCAGGCTAATGCTGACAACTGCCAGCATCACAGGCAGACCGTGTATCTGGAGGGTAAAGGGGTTCAGGGGCTACGTGACTCAGGAGCCACCATCACCCTGGTAAAAAGTCACCTGGTCTCAGACCAAGCTAAACTAAGTAAGACTGTGGCCGTCAGGGTAGCCGGGGGAGCAGTATACCGGCTACCTACAGCAAGGGTACATTTGCATTGGGGAGCGGGGGCAGGGGGCAGGGCATGTGGAGGTGGGGTTGATGCCGCAGTTACCAGCGGAGGTTTTATTGGGGAACGATCTGGGGAGGCTCACATCTGCTTTTGAGCCCCAGACACCCACCACAGGAGAAGCTCACCCTGTGGTTACTCGACAACAGGCCCGCACCCAGGACTACAACACACTCCCGGAGGTTCAGGTAAGAGATTCTTCCCCTTCCCTTGACTGTGTTCCCTGGGCCCCTCCTAACGAATTTGCAGCTGAGGTAGTGACAGACCCCACCTTGCAGGTGTATAGGGACAAGGTGACAGCAGACACGCCTGGGGGGAGGGCGAAAGGTTTATTTGGGACAAACAGCTGTTATATCGGGAGACGGATAAGAAGGTATCCGGGTCAGACCCGATTGTGATGAGGCAGTTAGTGGTACCTCAGCGGTACCGGGCGGAGTTACTACGGATAGCACATGACATTCCGCTATCTGGACATTTAGGGGTCATCAGGACCCGATACAGGTTAACCCAAAGTTTCTTTTGGCCGGGAATTAGCCAGGAGGTGCGCAGGTATTGCAACACGTGCGATACCTGTCAAAGGGTGGGGAAAATTGGGGACCGGCGCAAGGCCAAGTTACATCCCCTTCCCATAATCGAGGAACCCTTTAGCAGGGTAGCAGTTAACCTAATAGGACCCCTCAACAAAGCGAGCCCGTCTGGTAAAAGATTTATCCTGACAGTAGTAGACTATGCCACTAGATATCCAGAGGCGGTGGCCCTGACGAATATACAGGCTGAGACAGTAGCAGAAGCCCTGATGAAGATATTCTCCCGGGTGGGACTCCCCAGGGAGATTGTCTCCGATCAGGGCACCCAATTCACCGCCGAAGTCACGCAGCGCCTCTGGAAGTTTTGTGACATTAAGCCGGTCATTAGTTCCCCTTACCACCCCCAGACGAATGGGCTCTGCGAACGTTTCAACGGTACATTGAAACAAATGCTCCGAACCTTCGCAGAGACCCACAAGGACTGGGAGAAGTTCCTGCCCCACCTCCTCTTTGCTTATAGGGAGGTGCCGCAGGAATCCACTGGGTTTTCCCAATTTGAACTATTGTTTGGCCGCAGGGTACGAGGGCCTTTAGATTTGATCAGAGAGCATTGGGAGGGAGAATGGAGCACTGACGGTACCCCCATCATACCATATGTGTTGGCATTCCGAGACCGCCTTGAGGCCTTAACTCAGACGGTACGCGAGAATTTGCAGGCGGCTCAGACACGCCAGCGCACATGGTATGATCGGGGCGCCAGGGACCGTAGCTTTCAGGTCGGGCAGAAGGTGTTGATCTTAAAACCTGTCTGGCAGGGCCCTTATAAGGTGGTAGAACAACGGTGTGACACCACTTATATAATCGGCTCGTGCGTTGGTACTGGGGGGTGACGCATGCTCCATGTAAACATGATGAAGCCCTACCAGGAGCGCTCTGAGGAAGTGACCGCTATATGTGCGCCTAACTCCGAGGAGTTTGACAGTTTGCCTCTCCCGGATCTGCTGGGAGAGGGTCAGTTATCCGGGGACTTAGGGGAAGTCACCCTGGGGGACCGGTTGAGCCCACAGGAGCGGAGCGAGGTACAACAGCTGTTGAGGGAGAAGCAGGATATCTTCTCTAATGTACCTGGTTACACTCCTCTGGCCACTCACAGAGTAGACACCCCAGGGCAACTTCCCATGCGTCAGACCCCGTACCGCATCCCAGAAGCGGTACGGGCGAACATGCGCAAGGAGATCGATGAGATGCTCCAGCTGGGGGTGATTGAGCCCTCCGACAGCCCCTGGGCATCTCCGGTAGTACTAGTACCAAAGCGGGACGGCACGACCCGGTTTTGTGTAGACTACCGGAGATTGAATGAGAAGACGGTATCTGACGCCTACCCCATGCCCAGGATAGACGAACTCCTGGATCGGATGGCGAGGGGGCACTATCTCACCACGATTGACTTGTGTAAAGGGTATTGGCAAATACCCTTGGCGCAAGACGCCATCCCTAAGTCGGCCTTTGTCACCCCATTCGGCTTGTACCAATTTAAGGTCATGCCGTTTGGGATGAAAAACGCCCCGGCTACTTTTCAGCGGATGGTGGACCGCCTCCTGGATGGGTTCCAAGATTATACCTGCGCATACCTCGATGATATTGCCATTTTCAGCAATACCTGGCAGGAACACCTGACCCATATAGGAGCGGTCCTAGACAGGATTAGGGCCGCTGGTTTAACACTGAAACCAGCCAAATGCAGCATAGGCATGGCTGAAGTACAATACCTAGGTCATCGAGTAGGATGCGGCAAGCAAAAGCCAGAACCAGCCAAAGTAGAGGCTGTAGCTCAATGGCCTACCCCTAGGACTAAGACTCAGGTATTAGCGTTCCTAGGAACGGCCGGATACTACCGGAAATTTGTCCCGAATTACAGTGCCCTGGCCAAACCTCTCACCGACTTGACCCGTAAAAACCTACCCCGCCAAGTAACCTGGACCCCGGAGTGTGAACAGGCATTTCAGTTGTTGAAAGATGCAGCTCCCAATCCAACTAAACGTTTTCTTGTCCACACAGACGCTTCTATGTTTGGATTGGGAGCAGTATTGAGCCAAGTCGGGGCCGATGGCGGAGAACATCCCGTGGCTTACATCAGCCGGAAACTGTTACCTCGAGAAGTAAGCTACGCCACCATCGAGAAAGAATGCCTGGCTGTGGTGTGGGCCCTGAAGAAATTACAACCATATTTGTACGGACAAGCTTTTTCCCTGCTCACGGATCACAACCCGTTAGCATGGCTAAACCGGGTGGCTGGGGACAATGCCCGGCTGCTGCGCTGGAGTCTGGTGCTGCAGCCCTTTGACTTTAATATCCAGTACCGCCCGGGTAAACAGAATGGAAATGCTGATGGGTTGTCCCGACAAACTGACCTAGAGAAATGATCCATGAGCCTCCCCGGACATCCCCAAGCCGATCCGTGTTGGATCAGACTGTGTATGCCGGCTTGTGGGCAAGGGGGAGCAGTGTAGCGGATAGCACCAGGCGACCCTACAAATATACTGTATATACCTGCATTCGTGTATCTGCTGTGTTTTCTATGTATTAAAGAGAATTGTATTCCTCTGATTGTTCGGTAGTTTCATTCCCTTAGTTTATCCGAATGAAACTACCGAACAACCAGACCTCCCCTGTGTGAAGTGTGTCCTCAATTACCTGTTGCAACATTGTTGCGAACGGGTAATTGAACAGTAAGTAGCTGTCCTTTGTTCTCGGGGGTGGCCGCCATTCTAAAACTCCCGAACAGCGGTGTTTTGCCGTCGAGTGTCTGGAACTAAAATCGGACACTCGAGTAGGCGAACACCGCTGAGACCTCCACAGCCCTGGTCCGTTCGGTTCCAAACTACCGAACAGCCCCTCGTTCGGTAGATAGAAAATACCGAACGAGGGGATTCAGGCGAATCCTCCCTAGCCTCTATAGCTAGAGGTTTTCGTGTATTTTATTCCCTTATTATTCCCTTATGCCAGGACCGACCACAGGGCCCATTCACATGGAACCGGATTCGGCTATCTCAGTTCGTGCGGTCGGTCATTTTATTCCCTCCATACTTTTCCCGAACCCCTGGTCTGATCTGGGTGATTTTTGGATATGTTGGTCACCCAGATTAGGGGTATCCGGGGATGTAGGATTTAAAGAGGTACCCCTATGTTTAGGGGTACATCCAGAAACGGGGGGAATTGGTGTGCTGGATAAGGGGATTATGATGCTGGCTGAGGGGAGGAGATGTGTGGGAGGTTACCAGGACAGGATTGGCTACTGTAATAATTACTGTAAATCCCTCCCTTGCATGGGAGCATGCTTTAAAAGGAGACTGTGATTAAAGGCTTTCAGTTATGCTCCTGAAACTGTGTGTTGTCCAGTTATTGGGATTGCTGTTGGGATATTGCTGTATTTTACCTGCTGGAAGCCTTGCCTGTGGATTTACTATTTACTTGTTCCTGAGTCCCACTTGGATTATAAGCGGAGATAACCTGGGTAATATTGCATCTCCGCTACAGTCCCCATCGCACTTCCTCTCACCTGGTGATAGAACTTGTTTTTGAATATTAAATAATTGTGTGTTAGGCTCGACTTGAGGAGCTCCAGAGCAAAATTATTATGTGGAATATATTGATCTTCCCTCTTTTCCAGGTATGATCCAATGTGCTGAATGCCCCTTGTGTGCGGGATGGAAGAGTAGAGTGCCTCTACATCAGGGCTACAAAGAGCAGCCAAGGCTGGCACCTTTAAGTTTGAGAGGAGGGCAAGAGTTTGCTTAGTGTCCTTGATATAGAATGGTAGTCCTTCAAAGAAAGGTCTCAAAATTCGGTACTGGTACAAAAGAGAGCTCTTTACACCTACCCTCCTGTTCCTTATAATCAGACTCTACTAATATGCCAGTGTACTTCCATTATCTGAGCGGGGACCCACCGAAGGGCAGGCTATTTCAGCTGCTGCCCATTCTCAGTATACTTGCGCCCCGTTTTTGTTTTGTTTTCTTACTTCCATTATCTTCCATTATCTCTATCATTGTTTCTACCCATACCTTTTATTCACCTTTTTGAATATCTCTAATATTTCCTATATCTCTTGTGCCCCGTTTTTTTGCTCTCCGTAAGTTTAAAGGGTAATCCAGACGTGGACCCCTTGCTCAAGGTGCCTAGAGAGATATCATCTATGCCTCACTGATAATGCCTAACAAGGCTGAATCGATCGTCTGGGGTTGCTGTATCTCTCGTGTAGAGGGAACTTGCTGGCATTTTGGATCTGGACTGCCCGTATGGGTGGGATCAGTCTGATATGCTTCAGATATGTTCTCTCTGTAATGGCACAAGTTGAGCTAAAACCAGCTTGAGTTCTGAGCGGGGACCCACCGAAGGGCAGGCTATTTCAGCGGCTGCCCATTCTCAGTATACTCGCGCCCCGTTTATGTTTTGTTTTTTTACTTCCATTATCTTCTATTATCTCTATCATTGTATCTGCCCATACCTTTTACTCACCTTTTTGAATATATCTAATATTTCCAATATCTCTAATTTTCTAAATATATTTCATTTTGAATCTAAATGTTATTCTTCCGATCCCCATAGACTGCTGCTATTTCATTGGCTACATTTTAGCCTTCTACTTGGAATAACATTTTACTACTAAACAGCTGTCTTTCTTGATACTATCTTTCTACTTGGGTTGATCAAGAATTAGTATATTTTCTCACGCTTGCTGTGATTGATATATACAAGCCAGATAGGCAGACCCCCTAGGATTCTCAATTTTAATATTTCACTTTCACAAACCCCTTTTGTGTTTTTCACTTAGTTTTTTTTTATTTTTTCACTATTATGTAGATATGCCATTTAAATACTAATAAAGTTTATATTTACATTTTTTGTTTCTTACCAGTTGTAGTGGATTAAAAATGTTATATGTGGGTAATCTAACCTTTTTTTGAGAATCGTTACCCATAGTCTTTTGACTTGGGACCCCCTTTTTTCGAAGAAAGATGTTATTCTCTTTTCAATTTTTAATATGGACTCTTTGGACCCAATGAATGATCTTCGAATTGGTTCATTTTGTCTAAGTAATTTTTAATAAGTCCTTCTTAGAAACTATTTTAATATTTCAATTTCTTTATGTTTTAAAACATAATTTCTGAAGTTTTTCTTCCCTTATTGTTAATATTGCATTTATTAAACACACCGTGTTGTGTCTATTCCCTATACTAATATGTGTTTATATACATATTGTTTACTAATATCCAGATGCCCCTGTTTGAAAAAAACCCCTTTTTAACTTTTTACCATATATTGAAGGTCCACCTCTCTAGATGCTTATTTCTGGTGTGATTCTTTATATTGTGTATTTTCCGGTTGCTTAATTAAGAATTTATATTCACTTTTGTCTGTATATATTTTTTCTCTTATGTAATATGGGCTTTTTGACCTTTGCCCATACTTTTGGGACCCCTATACTGGATATGACGAAGTTACACTGTGCCAATTATCTATACTTCCGTGATGCGGACTTATGACGCGTCTGACTGAAAACCGGAAGTCCGGAACTCATTCAAGGGGTATAAAACTACGAATTCAGAAGAGATAGTCAGCATTGAGGAAGACCCCTGAGACGGTCGAAACGCATCTGCTGTTATTGGGACTCCTTATATTGTATTAATATTATTTATTTCTTCATTTGTTGTTTTCCTGCTGTGCCATACTTATTGTGTAAAATACCCAGTTGGCACTGCTTACTTGTTTTTTAACTTGTGTCCCTGATATATGTCCAATAAATTTACTATTTGATTCATCTTTGGACCATTGATCTCTTCTACATCTACTTCATAGCCTGTATAGGCACCCTGGAGCCTCTTCTATAGAGCCTGATACAGCTCTCTGCTGTGTGAGTGTTTTTTTCACCTGTTTAAAATATGTTTTATTTTAAACAGTGAGCACTATGTGTTTTTCCATTTATCTTTTATAGATCGCTCTACTTGACCTATGTTTATCATATTGTGTTAAGTATTTGGTGTGTGATCACACATTTTTTGGGGGGTATATTATCCGTTTGCCATGATGCTTTGCATGCCTTTAGAATGACAAAGCATCATGGCAGCTGTAGTTTTAAAACAGCTGGGGATCTTCCTTTTGGGCACCCCTTTTTTATAACTGCTGGGAGGACCTCAATCTTACCAGCTAGTAAAACAATAGCAGTACGAATATATGTTTGTATCCCTTATGTTAGTTTGTTCCTTTAAGCTAACTGCTATTTGCAATATCTGTCTGCTGAATGAATAATGTCTTAATATTTGTTTTTTACAGTACACTCCAGTTGTCTTTAATATCAAATTAGAATATTATTCAGCCTTATCAATCTCTGTTTCATAATATGAACAGCCAAATCTATTCGCCTCTCTCACATTGTGTAGGTATAATACGAATACAGCACATCAGGGTGCACACCCACACATCAACTACATATAGACGAGATACTGTCTTTAGTTACTGTTAATTATGATAAATCATTAACTCTCGTAACAAATGATGAGCCACGACTGTCATTATATAATGGTGTTTACCTAACACCTTGTTACGAAGGGGTTAAATAATACATCTATAAAAAATATACTAAGTATAGAATAAAATCATACCACAAAGACAGAGAATTCTGGAGGCTGGCCTAGCAGATGGATATGCATTAATCAGAAGATTCAGTAAACAGATGAACATCAAGCCACTCGGATCATACTGTATTGCCAGAGAGGGCGTCTTGGACGGTACAGGACAGAGAGTCCCGTCGAGTAGAAGCATTAAGACTTGAAAAGAAGAAGAACTGGCAGATGATGACAGGAAAGGAGTGGGTGGAAATTTTATAAGTTTTAATAGAAATTCTCGAAACGCAGAATGCAGAATGGAAAAGGGAATTGTATGTCAGAGGTAACTTATCAATTTAGGATCCTTAGAAATCCTGAAACATCCACAGGTATAGGCCGGTTTGGAGGCTCAGAAATGCCAGTTAGGTGCACAGACTTAATTTATTCAAATATTCAACAGGAATTCTTGAGTTGCTCATTGTAAAGCCTAGAGTCCTGGAATTGCCAAGAGAATTTCCAAATTTTAGGGCAAAATATTAAAAATTACCAGATTTTACTAATTTCATGACGTAAAGTCATGATTTTATAAAGGACACGGAGGCTCATATTGTGCTTTCTCTTTCTTTATTGTACCTCAGCAGCAAAGAAAAAGAAATGCATAAACATAAACGAAATCAAACTGAGTACTCAAGGGGTTAACATAGTCTGATACTCCAACCAATAGGAACAGTCCATCCATCAATAGCCACCCATGTGACCTTTCCTCTCCCTCTTTCTTTGATCCTGCCGAAGCCGAATTATAAAACTGTGCGAAATGACTCAACTCCTAACCGGCATGTCGCTGTCTCTTCCATAACGAACGTTGAACAGAAACTCAATAACGAAGCCGAAAACTTATCCTCAATGTCGTTGGCGTGGAGACGTTAAGCTGAAAAAGGGAGAGAGAGAGATATGGTAACGTGTGATCCAGTAACTGCATGTTACATGTGCTAGCACCATGCTTTATTTACATCTAGTAACCTACAGATCTACATATTTATCCTAGACTGTCATACATCACCTGCCTGGAACATGTTCTAAACAAACGTGTCAAGCAACCCATAAAAACATATCATTTCAACTTACTGGGTGGGAGTCTGGCAGGTCATAGTAGCTAATACCAACCTCACGATACTCACCATGCCATCTTCGCGATCCTCCTGGGTGGGCCAATACTCGCCTCCGTGTCCTTTATAAAATCATGACTTTACGTCATGAAATTAGTAAAATCTGGTAATTTTATTAAAGGACACGGAGGCTCATATTGTGCTAGTTTAAAGCTGAGCAATGACTGAGGACGTGACATGTTCTGGAGGTCGAAAATAATATTCCTTAAAGGTGGACTCCCGCGACCAGCCCGCCGTACGTAAAAGGTCTTCCAGTCTACAACCTAGCGTAAAAGCCTTGGTCGCTATGGCCCCTCTCGTGGAGTGTGCTTTGTATACCGAGGTATCAATATTAGCGGAGGCCATTACCCATTTTACCCATCTAGCTATCGTAACTGTCGATACTGGGTGATGTGGAGTTTTGGTGGCAATAAACAATTCATGTCTAGTAGGATCTCGTAATGCCCGTGTTCTCTCTTTATATTCTTTGAGGCAAAGTACCGGGCATAGGTTTTCATTATGGGGAAACGCTGGATAGGATACTGTCGTCATTGCCGTTTTTGTACGTCTGGAAATGTGAAAAGTCACCCCTGATGGAGTGAATGAACGTGCGTCCACATCCAATGCTCGCACCTCGGAGACTCGTTTGCACGATATCAAGCAGAAAAGCATTGCCAGTTTTGCTGATAGCTGTTTCAGTGGAAGATCTGAATTTCGTGGCCACTGTTCGAGGAGGTTCAAGACCAAATTTATATCCCACGTTGATGTATATCTGGTGGCCTTGCAAAACGAACACCTCGGAGGAGTCTGCAAACCATTGCATGTCTCCCTATCGGTGCACCGTCCAGGCCCTGATGTCCTGCTGAGATCGCTGACCGGTAGCCGTTAATAGTGCGATAGGCCAAACCCCGATCGAACAAGGCTGTCAAGAAACGCAGGATGCTGTTCAAAGGGGCACAAACGGGATCCACTGATTGTTCCATGCACCAACCATTCCAGATGTCCCATGCTCGACTGTAGGATCTCCCAGGCCCCTGCCAGTAGCTCCAACGTTGTCCGTGGAACCTCTGGTATGATTGGGAATCCCCGGAAAGAAGCCATGCTAGCAGTCTGAGATGTCCGCGCAGCGCCAAAGGGTGTGAGTTCCCCTCCGGATCCGTCAATAGATGAGGATCCGCTGGTAGCAGTCTGGGGAGGTCGATAGACATCTCCATGAGGGACAGGAACCATGGTTGCGCCGTCCAAAAAGGTGCGACTAACACCAAGGTCGTCTGTGAACGGCTGAGGTGAACCAATGTCCGTGCCAGCAGAGCGAACGGTGGGAAAGCGTACAGTCTCTTCCGTGGCCATTGTTGGAGGAACGCATCCGTCGCCACTGCATCTGGGTCCGGTCTCCAGCTGAAGAATTCTGGTAGTTGTGTATTCAACCAAGACGCAAACAGATCCATGGGCAGCGGGCCCCACAACGTCTGCAGGCGCAGGAATATATCCCGCTTCAAGCACCAATCGCTGTTGTCCCACAGGTGTCTGGAATTCCAATCCGCCACTGTGTTCGAGAGGCCCGGGATGTATTCGGCCCATACCGAGATGTTGCGGTCCAGACAAAACTGCCAGAACTCCATGGCCAAATCCGCCAATAGCTTGGATCTTGTGCCGCCCAGGCGGTTGATGTATTGCACTGCTGATACGTTGTCCATCCGTAGGACGACAGAGCAATGGGTCCTGGAGCCCAGCAGGTTCCAGGCCATTGATGTGCATCGTCTTTTCCGACTGAGACCATTTTCCGCCTGTGGAAGTACGCCCACAACGCGCTCCCCAGCCCAGTGTGCTGGCATCGGATTCTATTATGCAGTCCGGGAGGTCGCCAAAAATCGCTCTCCCGTTCCAAGCCTCCATGTGCTGCAACCACCAGTTGAGTTCCGCTCTGGCCGTGTGATCGAGCGGCACGGAGTCTGAATAAGAGAGACCCAATTGAAGATGTGTGGTCTTTAGTCTCTGTAGGGCCCGGTAGTGGAGAGGCCCGGGAAAGATCGCCTGGATGGAGGCGGAGAGGTGTCCGATTATCCTGGCCAGTTGGCGCACCGTGAGCGTCGGTTGCCGTAGCGACCTGTGAATCTCCTTTTTGATGACTTTGATCTTCCCTTGCGGCAAGTTCAAGGTCCCTTGGACAGCGTTGATGGTGAAGCCCAGGAATTCCATGGATTGCGAGGGAGTCAACACCGATTTCTCCCAATTGATGAGAAACCCGAGGTTGCGTAACAGGTGAATTGTCCATGACAGATGTTGTCGGAGCATATGTACCTCTTGAGCCATAATTAAGATATCGTCCAGATAGACGATCATGCGCACTCCTCTGCTGCGAAGCAGGGCCACCGCCGGCTTCAGGAGCTTCGTGAAGCACCATGGGGCGGATGACAGGCCGAACGGGAGGCACCTGAACCTCCACATTTGACCGTCCCATGGGAACTGGAGGAGGTGGTGGCATTCCTCCGCTATTGGAACGGTAAGATAGGCATCATGGAGGTCTAGTTTTACCATCCAGTCCGCCAGCCTAAGCAGGTCCCGCAGGCAATGGATTCCCTCCATTTTGAATGTGTTGAGGGGGCGTAGGTTTATCACCGGTCTCACCCCTCCACCTTTTTTGGGGACCAGGAAGAGATTGCTCAGGAAACCCGACGAATGGGGCGCGACTCGGTAAATCGCGCCTTTTTCCCGTAAAGATCTGATTTCCAGCGACACGAGATTCTTGTCTGTCGAGGAAAAGACCATGGGTCGGGGGGCCGCTAGTTGTAATGGGGGCTGCACAAAGTCTATCTGGTACCCCGCTACAGCGTTGAGAACCCAAGCATCGGACGTGAGGCCTTGCCACGCCTTGAGAAAATGAGCTACTCTGCCCCCTACAGCTGAAGAATAAACCCGGGAAGGAAAAATGGTACTCACCATAAGGTTGTCGGCCATATGTAGCGCCTCTGCGCCCTCTGGGTTGCCATGGCCTGCCCCGGACAGGGAAAAATGGTGTAGGGTTCCTGACCTCTGGCGTCTGGAATCTGGGTGCAGGGGAGCCTCGGTAGCCCCGATAGGAGCCCCGTGAGGACCGGCTGGACAGACGGCTCCGTTGTCTGCCAGCCCCCCCGAAAACCTTTGGAGCGAACACCCGCTTTAAGTTTGATTGTGCCTTGTCCAGGGCTGTGAACGTATTAACATAGGTGCCCAACTACTTGACAAAATTATCCCCAAAGAGGAGGCCCTTTGCCTGAGGCCCGGGTTCAGCAATAGCCATGTTGACCAACTTCGGGTCAATCTTCATGAGGACCGCTTTTCGTCTCTCAGTACAGAGGGCGGCATTGGAGTTGCCAATGAGACAAATTGAGCGTTGCGCCCACTCCCGGATAGCCAGGAGGTCCACCGGCGTGCCATTTGAGATCGTCTCTTCGACCATGTCGAAGATTTTTGCACTGGGGCCCAGCAAGTCTAGCACCTTATCCTGACAATGGCGTAAGGAGTAGTCCAGGCCCTTTTTGGCTTTCCAGCCCGACCTTCCCAGAAACTGGGCAATCTTTGGGTCCAATTCTGGCGTGGCGCACGCCAAATCAGGCACTGTTGGGTGAGGGCATTCGGCCCTCAATTTATTTCTAGTAGCCTTGTCTAGGGGCTTCCTAATCCTGGTCGCGATATATTGGGCCACATGGTCCGCCGGGAACCATTCGGTCGACCTAGGGTGTTGCAGGTCGTCCGGGTTGAATAGGGGTTCCCCTTGCGGATCCAAGATAACGGAATCATCCGTCTTGTCGCGACCCTTAGTGGGCGGCTTGTCTGAACGGTCTCGTTCCGGAGAAGAGTCCTCAGAATTTTGCAAGCCCATATCTTCGGACTCACTCCATACCTCCTTTTGGTCCGAGTCAGAATCGGAAATATCTTTATTGGCTTTCACCCATTTCCACGACCGCACTGCTTTTGCCCGGTGGGAGGCTCTCTTACGTGGGGGCCCCACGTCCTCATCAGTGACAGGGCGCAACCTGTCCGTCACAACAGTTTTGGAGGTGTATGTGCCCATGTGATGGGTCTTTGCAGGAGCCTTGCGACCGCTAAGGGGGGCAGGCTCAGCATTTGGGGCCTTGGGGTTTTGGTCACCGGAGCCCTGGCCAGACACCATGATGGCGTGGCTAATGGACTGAGTCAAGTTATCTGATATCGTCCCCATTGCTGTGAATATGGCTTGCGTGACCGATTTTGCCATGGTCGCGTCAAGCAGGGAGTGAAACTCCTCTGAATTTAATTGCTCTACCGACCCCACCTCTTCCCTCTGAGGGAGAGTGGGTCGTGGGGCCAGGGGCCCACTGGGGGTGACGCCCAAGTTGCCGGTAGGCATGGTGACCCTCTCTTGGTCTGTGGGGTGCTGCATGGCAGGGAAAATACAGAATGGAAGAAAACCCTTTATGGCCCCTTTAACAAAATAAAATTAGGTGGTGGCCCTTTAAAGGCACCCTGTGTGGCAAACAGGAATATGGTTGATGGGGCACTACAATTAACCTGGCGGAGCTGAGCAGGGCAGGAATAAATAGTGAAAAACTTGAGCACACTGTGTACTAATGGCAGGTGTGAGGGCAAGGCGCAAACAAGCTGTCAGCTTACCTAGTGTTCCCTCCGGAATGGGAGCAGAGGGGGGAACACTAGGGAGCTGGCAGTTGCGGCCGACACCCCTTCCGAACGCTCCCGCCCTCCAGGGGGCTGGGAGTGTCGGCTGAAAAGCGCGGGAAGAAAGCCCACCGAAATCCGGCTAAGATGGCCGCCGCTGCGGATGTTGCAGCGCGTGCGCCAGCTGACCAGGCTGTTACCGCTCGCACCGGCTAGAAGAACAGCTTTTTTTTTTTGTTGTTGTTGTTGTTTTGTTGGTTTTTTTATGATTTTTATTATGTTTGTACACACATGTATATGTTAGGTTTAATAACCGATAAGAAATTTTGGTCGTGCAGCTTGAGCAACTGCCCAACCCTTGGTATAACATATTATGAACATCAATATTGCGGCAACGTGCCACAGCATCTCAGAGAACATACTACTTTAACAGCGTTATTTTATGTGTGTGTCAGTCATGCTTGGCTGCATTTATTATGCTGTGTGAGGTGAGTGAAAACGGCTAGTGTGGGGTGGGGTGAGTTACTTTACTCTAGGGGCCAAAGTGGGGTAGCTGGTTGGTGACAGGTTGCAGTATAGTGCCCACTGCCTTGTGGTTCCCAGTCTCTTGCGGGTCTAGTCAGCCGACTCTCAGCCATAGCTTCAAGTACCAGGCCCTTGCAACTTGGGCGGTGTTCTGGAGGAACCCGCTCCCAGGTGTCTCTTTTCCGCTGGTTTGCCTCCTGGTTTGGTAGCAGTTGTTGCCTCCAAGGCCGTGGGTGGGATTTTCATTCGTTCCCATAGTGAGTTTGGGTCTTGCTATGAAGAGAGCGTGTAGTTCTGGTCTCCACATGAGACCTGTAGGGTTCCGTCCGTGCTCTATCTGTATTGTATCTTTTGGTCTCTGAGTTGTTTGGTGACTGGTGACAGCTTACGTTTCTCTGCCAGGACTGCAAAGGGTATGTCTCCATAGATGGACACCATGTTTCTCTCAAATTCTATATTGCCCATCGCTCACGTTCCTGCCATTATGGCGGACCGAACTGATATGTCCCTGGTCACGTTTATGATGTCTCTTGACGCGTCGGTAGGAGCAGTGGCGGCTTTGCAGATGCAGAACGCTGCTAGTAGCATGTGTGGCTCCTTTGTCCCCTTGAGGCCCATGTGTAGGAAGAGTCTCTGGGCATAGGGCAGGAGATCGTCCCCTCATATGTCTTCCGGGACCCCCCGCAATCGGACATTGCGGCGTCGGGGCCTGGTCTCCATGGAAGCCATATTTCTCTGCATGCTGCGGAACTTCTGGGTAAGCTCCTCTATTTGCATCTCTATGGCTTGGGGCCTGGTATCTCTGGTCAGCTCCCTCTCCTCCACCTTTTGTATCCTCTGGGTTACTGCAACTAGCTCCTTCTGGGTCTCATGGAGGTCTTCCTTCCATACCCTACGGAGATCCAGGAGCAGTCTTTTAATATCTCCACGTGTGGAGGGTGTTGTATCATCCTCCAACTCCGTGTCCCGGTCTGCTTCGCTGTGGCGTGAGGATGCCGGGGATTCTACCTCATCTTGCGACTCCTCTGTGTCCTCTGCCTCGGGCTGTGCTTCAGGCGCCATTTTTGGTGGTGCACGTGGAGTAGGCCTCTCGAAACAGAGCCTTATGTCTGGGAGTCTGGTACTCTAAGGTACCTCTTATTTTTTCGGCCCATTTTGGTGTCTCTGGTGGGGGCAGCTCTGTGTGTGGATCTCGGGTTGTTTTTTTCTTTAGTTTTTGTTTGTCTCTATTGAGTCGGAGCTCCACTAGCACAAGTCTGTTAGCTTGCTCAGTCGGTCACGCCCCCTTATTTAGTACATTGTTTGATTCTTCCTCTGATATAAAATCATGGCCTGATAATAGATTTGAAGCATTCATATTTTATAACCTCCCTCTAATTTGGATGAAATGGAAATGTTCAGTATAGCGTCCTCTTAGAACAGGGGTAGGCAGCCCAGGTGTTATGCACTACAACTCCCAGGATGCTTTGCATGCAGCAATATGGCTGCAAGACCATTATGGGAGATGTAGTCCACAACATCTGAAGTACCAAAGTTTGCCTAGAATAAGCCTTCCTTTGGCATTATCTGCCTCATCTGACCCTCATTCACACCACAACTTGCACGCATGGACTTACAAAAATGTAGCTGGCTCAAATCCAGCAGCAGTAGTAATAGCAATCAATAAATACGAGAGCACCCTAGGACTATTTAGAAAAAAAATAAAACAACTTTTATTCATCATATTTCAGTTTTAAATTAAAACTTTCATCAGGATGAAGGGATGTTAAAAGAGTAAAATTGCTAAGTTAAAGTAATATAGTAAAGTCAAATGTCACAAACAATTTGAAAAACATCTAATCAAGTTAAAATTTGAGATTTCAGGAGGGTTTATTCCCAATTAAGAGCTATTTTAGGTGTCAGATAAATTCAAATGCATTTTCCAATATAAAGCATTTTATTTATTTATTTTATTATTTTGATAATAGACAACTAAATAAGAATATTTTAGACTCCTGTTGTTACATTTTTGGAAATATGACTGCATTCCCTGATAATTTATATCACTTTTTGCACCTGCTTATATTTCCATAGCTATCAATACAGAAGAAAGAGAATATTATTTCATCGTGTTAAATGGCATGGGCGGTTAGATTAAATGCTACAAGCTGAAAATTTTGTAAGTAGGTCAAGCATTGATGAAAAGTTACATACCACTTTTCCTCAAATATGTCTTTTTTAAAACAACCTTCAAAGTAAAATGAACTAAATATAATTAATAAGGCTATGTAATAGTACTCGTTATTATGAAATTATTAATCAGGATTATTTGTAGCTTTATTTGAAGGATATTCGGACACAACAACAGGTCCATGGTATTTATAAGAAAATATATTAGTTTAATTAGTATTCCTGTTTTTGTTCTATCTATATTTCTAAAGAGTTGTTTTACATATAAATTGGAATTAATATTAAAGGGTCACTGAGCTGCCCAAATCCAACAAAAATAAAAATCACTGTTTAGTAGATATTGTTTGCTGAGAACAACAGTCAACTATGAGCACTTAACCAGAGACCCTGAGAGTAAATGTTTCTGATGGTTATGGGAGTGGAAAGGGGTAGAAGAGAGAGGTACGGAATACAGAGAGAAGAGTAAAGATTGTGGGGGGGAGGGAAAAAGAGCACTCACATGAGGGGAGAAACCAGCCATGCTCATCTTCAAAAGACAATAAGTCCAGCTTCACTCAGTGGAACCAGAGGAGAAGGAGGAGAGACTGGTGTGCTCTCGCCTTGGGCAACATACAAAAGCCAAAGGGTACCACAACTCCGTGCATTTAACAGGTCTGTCTTACCTTGTGAAGGTGAGTGACTTTATGATATAGATAGATAGATAGATAGATAGATAGATAGATAGATAGATGTTCAAATGCAGCCATCCATTGCTTGATGATGTTTGAAGCATTGAGTAAGTGTTTGGTCAAAGGTGTTTTGTAATGCAAGATGGAGAGAGGAGCAAAATGGAATGACATAACTTCCCTTTGGCAAAGGAGTCTCATTCCAACTACTACTGTAATAGCCAAATGCACGGCCCTCCAAAAAGGGGTTATATTAGTACAGGCCCACAATGTGTGCAGTGCTGTAACAATCAAACTTTGTCATCTCCAGCACTTACAGAGATTTCATGAAGAGTCGAAGCCAACCAGTAGCAACGAGTAAGAAGTTTATGATTGTTTTCCTGTAATTTAGAGCTAATGGAGATTAGATGGACGAAATTCATCTTAGCCAAAACACCACATGGATGAGTCCTGTATCACCCACAACAAAACATTTTTCGGACTAACCAAATTTTATCACCTGGCATAAATCTACTCTTTGCCTATAGAATGCCCAGTGATCTGACACATGAAGAGGAAAGAAAGTAAACAGCAGGAAGTTCCTCCATTTTGGTCAGGGCCTCTATAGTGCAAATAACAAAACATATACTGTACAAAGTATTCAATTCTTATAACCAATAAAACCCTAACTATTGTTTATCTGAATTAGCAAGATAAAGATGAAAAATGTTAAAACAATATATTTACATAATGAAAGCCAATTTGTACAACTGTAAATCCCATGATGCTTTGCTAGCTCTCAGAAGCTATTACATAGAAACATAGAATGTGACGGCAGATAAGAACCATTCGGCCCATCTAGTCTGCCCAATTTTCTAAATTACTTTTGGATGCAAGCAGCTTTCAAATCAGGAAAATCTTATCAATAAATGCATACATAATCTCTGTACCTTTTCAGATCAGCTCCTAAACCCAATCTAAACCAGGCAGACGCACAAGGTCTACATGGGGAAAGGAGTTAGTGCATGGATCGGTGAACGGGTGAGAGAAGAGTGGTTTTAATGAAACACTTTTAAAAACATACTTTGCTTATTTTTTATATGTATCTGACCAGTACATGGCCTACAACGTTAGAGAGAAAGAGCGCAAAAATGGTTCTGTTTAATGTATATGATGTGACATGGTAAATATTATATTCAACCAAACAACAAAAGGATGGAATGCAATGAAATATGTTGAATCAACAAACTGTTACAAAGTTATAAAAATGTAAGTCAACATTAGCTAAACCATTTATTATTTCTATGCTGTATTTTGTATTTTGTTTTCAAATCAATGTGTATAATATAAATCTCCAAATGTTCGTTTCCTAAACATCTCAAATAATCCAGGAATAGCAGAGCCCATAAAAATATAATTACAAAGACAG